TATTGCATATTTTTTCGCTGCATATTTAGTTCATTCATGATGCATATTTAGTTCATAACAGATGCATATTTAGTTAATAACACAAATAATTTTTATTATATAATTAATTTGAATTTTAAATTGATTAATAACACAAATAAATTGTTATGATTGGATCTCAAATAAAATAGGTATGCACTGTTCATGAACTAAATATGCATTTCGTAAGAACTAAAATATGTACCATGAATTAAGTAAATATGCATAATAATTAATTATATAAATGTTATTACATATTTAATTTAAATATAACAAATATGCATTTCGTATTAACTAAATATGCATCATAAATTACCTAAATATTCATAAAAAATTAACTAAATATGCATCATAAATTACCTATATGAAATGCACATTTTATTGCATATTTTTCGCTGCATATTTAGTTCATTCATGATGCATATTTAGTTCATAACAGATGCATTTTTAGTTCATAACAGGTGCATACTTAGTTGATATTATTGGTGCATATTTAGTTCATAAGAACTGCATGTGCAATTCATATCCAATGCATATTTAGTTCATATTGAATGCATGATACTGGATGCATATTTACTTTATACATATAATGCATACTAGGGGTCAACGGGTCAACGCCGGAAGTCAACGGTCAACGTCGGAGTCAACGCCGGAAGTCAACGGTCAATGGCAAAAGTCAACAATTTTTCGCCGGAAGTCAACGGTCAACGCCGTAGTCAACTAATAATTATTTTATTATTTAATTAACATATATTTTAAGAAATGGACTCATTTTAAGGAGTGGACTCATTTTAAGGAGTGGACTCATTGGATCCTCCCCATATATATATATATATACACACATAAAAGAGTATAGAAATGTGTTAAATATTAAATAAAAAAACTTATATGGTAACTCTTAATTGAATTTCTTGAAAATATCTAACACTTAATTGAAAATCCCTAATTGTATTAAAATTGGAAGTCTCTTAATTAATGTAAGTATTACAGTACAAACATTGAAACACAAGAATTCGTTCCCAACATAAACATAGCTGCACTTACAGTACAAACAAGAACTCTCACGAAGGTCACAATACAGAGTATTCGCCGGCGTTGGATGTTTAACCAGAACAGATAACTTTCACAACCCGCGTCGTCACCGGTGGAGAAGGACTGAAGCAGGAAGGGAAAAAGAAAAAAGAAAGGAAAAATAGGCAGACATACCACTCGCCGTCGCCGGTTATTCACCGTAGATTGGTCGTTGTCACCAGTGGAAGAAAAGCCACAAGGTAAATTTTTCAATTCGTGTAGTATTCTTCGACAATTTTGCAATTTTTCTTCATCTGCCCTAGCAAACCTTCAATGTCTTTTTTTTTTTTTTTTTTT